CCGCTCCGGAGGCTGCAGCGCCGGGTGTACCACTCACGCAGCCGCTGTGGGGAGGGCGGCTCCGGCCGCGACACAGCACCCGCAGGACCACCAGCCCCAGCTCCAGCAGAATCCCCAGCTCCAGTAGCCCCACGCCGGAGGCTGCAACTCTGGGAGTACCACTCCCGCAGCTGCTGTGAAGAGGGAGCGCCACCAGGCGCAACACGGTCAGTCGCAGAACCCCCAGCCTCAGCTCCCCCAGGCTCAGCACCCCCAGTCTCAGTACCCCCAGGCTCAGCACCCCCAGCCGCAGCACCCCCAGGCCCAGCACCCCCAGTCTCAGCACCCCCAGGCTCAGCACCCCCACGCTCAGCACCCCCAGTCGCAGCACCCCCAGGCTCAGCACCCCCAGTCGCAGCACCCCTGGGGTCTACCGAAGGGACACGTGGGGTGAGGAAGAGTGGCGGGGGGGGGAGCGGCGCAGTGCGGTAGGGGAACAGACTCTTCAAAAGTGACGTCCTGAGAGGGGAAGACACGGCGCGAGGTGGGGTGGTAAAACTGCCAGCCAGGCGCGTCAGGGACAAAGCCAAGGAAGACACAAGGAACGGCACGGGAGGAGAGCTTGTCCGCGGACGTATCGCGGACAAAGGCTCGACATCCCCAGACCCGGAACACCGACGCATCACCAACCTCCCCCGTCCAACGCAGTGTGGGCGAGGTCTCCGGAGCAGAGACACGGGGCCAGAGGTTGAGCTGATGCGCAGCGTACTGCACTGCAAACGGCCACAGGAAATGGGGGGCAGCCGCATGGATCATGGAGGTACGAGCGACCTCCATGAATAAGCCAATGCGGCGCTCAGCAACCCCATTCTGCTGTGGAGGGGCCGGAAGCGTGAACGTCTGGCGGATGCCGTGCTCCGCACAGTAGGCTGCCAAGAGGTCAGAGGAAAACTCACCACCCCTGTCAGAGTGCAGACGCAGGACGGGAAAGTCCGACTGGAACCGCTCGCGGAGCTGGAGACGAGCAGCGCGGATCCAAGGGATCAAAACATTAGAGACCTCTCCCTTGGTGCGCAAGGGGAAGACCGTGGTGTAGCGCGTGTAGTCGTCGACGACCAGCAGGAAGTACCGCTCGTGGCCCTGTCCACGGACGCGGGCTGGGCCCCACACGTCCAGGTGGAGAGTCTGCAAGGGAGCCTCTGTGGGAGGGAACGAGGAGGAGTGAGGAGTTGCGCGCTGCCGCCCCTCGACACAGGGAAGACAGGGAGGAGCAGGCGAGGGTGGGAGGGGAGGGAGAACCCTGGGAAGACCAGAGACAAGGTACCGGGAGTGCATGCCACGAAGGCGCTGCACTGACGGGTGACCAAGACGGTGGTGCCAGAGGACTGTTTGGTGCGACAGGGAGCGACACGAGCAGGGGGGCGATAGCTGACCTGACGCAGACGCAGACGCAGCTACCTGAGGGGACTCAGTGGTCAGTGTGTACAGGTCTGACCCCGGCTGCCGAGTGAAGGTAGCCAAGTGGCGACCCGTCCGAGCAGACGTACAGTGGGTCACACGCTCATAGGCAGGGGTGCACTGGTGAACACCCCCGTCCTGGAGAGCAGAGCCCGCCACCAAGTTCGTAGAGAACGAGGGGAGGTACAGACCCGACAGGGTGCCGGACGGGGCCGCAGGACAGGGGAGGACAGTGGAGGAGGTTGCAAGGACCGGGCCCCCAGAGGGGTCAGCGAGGGAGACAGCAACAGGCCGAGCTAGCTGCTCAAGGACAGTGCGGTCACGAAAGAAGCAGCGGGAAGCACCTGAGTCCAGTGTGAAGGTATGCACTGCCTCAGTAGACGCAGTACCAGCAGGCGCAGACGCACGAGCACCTGGAGCAGCCGACTCACTAGCACCTAGAGCAGCAGCCTCACCAGGACCTAGGGCAGCAGACGCACTTGCACCTAGAGCGGCAGCCTCACTGGTCCCAATATCTGGGTCGGGCGGTACACGCAGGTAACTGTCACCCTCAACACTAATAGTCAATGCATACATAGCACCAAGGATAGCATCAAAATCAAGAGCAAAGATATCAATGTTCTTTTTAAGCAGATCAGCCCAGCGCGGGGCAGCTCAGAGGCGTCAGGGAACTGCTCGCGCCAGGCGTCTTCGAGACGAAAGAAGCAGCGCTGCGCCGTGTGGAACCTCCCACAGGTCTGGCCAGTATGGTCACCTGTGCGGATGACGTACGGGCAGACCTCCACCCCCAGACCCCCCACGCTGAGAGTACCACTCACGGAGCTGCTGGGGCGACTGGGTCTCGCTGGGACGCTGCTTCTGCTGCCTCTGGCCACCGCCGAACCCCCCACGTTGCACCGCTCCACCGCACCCGCCACCACTGCCACCACCACCCCCGCCACCCCCACCACCGCCGCCGCCACCACCCCCGGCTCCGCCACTGACCCCCCCACTACCACCACCACTCCCACCACCGCCACCGCCCCCGCCCCCTCCACCCCCTCCACCACCGCCGCCCCCGCCGCCACCTCCGCCACCCCTGCCCCCCTTGTCCCTGCCGCCCTTGCGCCTCCCACTAGGAGTAGACGCAGCCCCGACCCCCTCAGCACCGAGGTAGTCGACAGCAGCAGCAGATGCAATGGAGGGGAGGAGGGGGACGGGGGAGCACCCCTCAAAGAAAGGAACGCGAGGGTCGCCACGAGAGGCACCTACAGCTACAATGCTCTTCTCAGCTGCTAGGAGTTCCTTCTCGAGCAGGTCAACAGTGAGGTCGGTGGGGGAGAGGGCGAGAAAGTGGTCCCTGACAGTGCGAAGAGAGTCAGGGAGGCGGGTGAGTAGGTGGTAGAGTGTGAGGTACATCGGGGGAGGGTTCTTGGCTAGGAAATCGGGGGGAAGCGCGGCACGGTAGCGGAGATCACTAGTACGGAGGTGCGTGATGAGGTCAGCTACAGTGGCAAAGGCAGACAGATCGGGGAAGAGATAGGGCAGCGAGAGGCGGCCTATCGCAGCAGTAGCAGGGGAGGAGTAGCGTGCAACTGCAGCATCGTACAGCTCCTTAGCGGTCTTATGCTGGCCAAAATGCTCGCGCTCATCTAACGGCAGGTGGCTGCGAACGGCTAGGCGAGCATGAGCGTCACGGGTCTGCCACTGTGAGCAAGCAGTACTGTCAGCAGTAGCAGCAGGTGCGGGAGCGGCGCCGGACGTGTGGTCAAACAGGGAAACATCGTCCTTGGCAGTGATCTGGAGGAACAGGTGCAGGTCATCGAGCCAAACGTCAAACTTAATTAGACGGCCCTCAGCGTCAAAAGTGAGAACGGTAGGACTGGCCATAGTGGCAGTAGGAGCAGTAGGAACAGTAGCAGCAGTAGCAGTATTAGCAGTAGCAGTAACAGGAGCAGCAGGTGCTGCAGGTGGGGCACAGTAGGGCGGCGCGGCTCGGTCAGGGCGGCGCGGCTCGGGCAGGACGGCGCGGCGCGGCTCGCTCAGGGAGGGTGGGCCGGCGCGTGGTCTGCGGCTGTGCGAGGCGGCGGCCTACGTGCGGGCGGCAGCCGTCGTGAGGGCGACGGCCTACGTGCGGGCAGCGGTCGAGCGCGGGCGGCGGCCTACGTGCACGAGGCGGCGGCGCGCGGCGGTCGACGAGCAGCTCGCGGGCTGTGCTAGGGGCCGCGCGAGGGCAGGGCGGGCTACGCGTGGGCGGCGTCGACGGCGCGTACGGCTAGCGGGTCGCGCGCACGAGAAAAGGGCCGCGCGCGGGCGGCTAGCGGGCTACGCGCCCGAAAAACAGGCCGCGCGCGCGGGCGGCTAGCGGCTGCGCACGGGCAACATGAGAGAAAGGGGCGCGCGAGGGCGCACTAGGAACGAGGCGCACGAGGGCGCGAGTAAGGGATGGCGCACGAGGGCGCTTCTAGCGGAACGGTGGGCCCTTAGGAACTAGCGGTCCTAGGTTCCTAACCTAGGCTCGTAGTACCATGTCAGAATGAGAGAAGTGAATGAACTAGGAAAGAGTTGGGTACATATGGTAAAACCTAAACTTACTGTACCCCATAGGAACTACCCCACTACAGCCTAAACCAACTGTAGCAGATATAACATTTGACAAGTAGTCACCACTTTCCCTCTGGACGAGCCTGTTGCCTCCTGCACTGACGGTGCCACTGGGGCGCCACTAGCCACTTTTCACAGGGAGCCAGACTCTGGCCTGTACTCGTTACATACTGGGTCAGGTCAGGTCACGTCAGGTTAGGTCAGGTCAGTCACTCACCCGTCGGTCGCTGGCACCACTGTCTGGGGCACTCGTGTCAAAGAGAGAACTGGAAGAATGAGTGACTAGAACAAAAGAGCACAAGGAAACATATAGCAAACGTGTAACATCTACTGCATTACTCGCTGTAACACTTAGACTAGACTAACAAACTATAACAAGTACAGTTTGATACAGCCCTATAGTCTAGGTGACGGCAGTCCAGTGGAAAGCAACACACCCTCAACAGCAGCTGCAGCTCCCACGTACCGGTGTGCGTACTGGCTGGGTCCGACAAAGCCCCGCGGTCACTTAGAGGGTACAACCCCTTTTAGGGTTTGGTATATGTTTCCTTGTACTCCTTTGTTCTAGTCATTCATTCTTCCGGTTCTCTCTTAGACAGGGTCACCACCCCCAACAGCACCGGAGTCCATAGCGATAGGTTGGAGAGGCGGCGAAGATGGCCGAGGCAGAAAACCAGGAGGAGTCTCCAAGCGTGGTGGGCGACGAGAGGCCGTTGTGTCATCAGCAGCAGGGTCACCCCCCTCAGCTGTGCTAGAGGGGTCGGAGGAGACCTCCAAAGGCCCAACCAAGTGGGGTGGTGAAACCTGAGACACACCTGAGGGAGTAGGACGCAAAGGGGGGGGAAGGGGGTCTACCAGGGGGTAACTTCGAACCAGGAAGAGGGGCACGGGGGGGGGGACGGGGGAACTGCGGTGGGGGTAGAGAAGGTGACGTCGTGGGAGACAGGTATTCGGGCCGTCGGCCCGTCGCACGGTTCCCCATGGGCAACGTTTTTGTGTGCGACGAGGTGGTAACAGCGGGCGACATCGAGTACTCCGTGTCGCAGGTAGGGCCCCTTCTCGTCTCCCTCTCCCCCGCTCTCACCAGCATGCTCCTTGCAACAAGCACCCTTCTTGCAAGCGTCCCTCTCCGTAGGGTGGCGAGTTTGAAGCGGACAAGCGTGCAGGGGTAGGGCGTACGCTGCAGTGCATCAGCTCCATGCGCAAGCGCGCGGGGATAGGGCGCACACTGCAGCGCATTAGCGCCATGCGCAAACGCGCGGGGATAGGTCGCACGCTGCAGCGCATCAGCGCCATGCGCAAGCACGCGGGGAGAATTTGTTGGGCGGAAGTGGCGCGTGGGGCGCGTTAAGGCGGGCAGTGCGTGGATGAGATGTGTGCGAGGTGGTGGCGGGGGGCGAGTCCGTGGTGGTCGTGGGCGCGTGGGGCGTGGGGAAGAGCACGTGTAGCAGGTGATGGGGACGAGTGCACGCGCAAGGTGGTGGAGGACACACAAGGCGATCGTAGACGATGGGGACATGGCCCATTCCGCCAAGCCCCTCACCTCACGCCACATACCCCTCTCTCCCTACGTGCCCTTGTTGTTTGGCGCCATGGTTCCACAGCAAAGTTCGTGTGCACCTGTGTGCAGCAGCAGCAGAGGATAATGGAGGCGGTGGAGAATCAGATGGCACAGGTGGTGGTGATTGATGATATGGGATGGCCTGCCCAACGAGTCATCAGCATTGGGTGATGGAGGACGCCATGGGGTGCCACACAGGCAAGGCACCGCAGGTGGGTGTACGGAAGATGGGGCAGTATGGGGACGTGTGGGTGGATGGCGATGCTGCCACCACCGCCACAGCTGATAACCTCTCCCTTCTCTCTCTCCCTTCCCTTATGTGCGCTCGCCACTTCCACTCCCCCATGGGGTGCCACACAGGCAAGGCACTGCAGGTGGAGGTGCGGGAGAGGGGGCAGCATGGGGACGTGTGGGTGGATGGCGATGTTGCCACCACCGCGCGCATTATTCTGAAACATGTATAACATGCTATTTTTCAAGGACTCCCATAATCAGAGTTCAAACAAATCATATCAAATTCCATAGTCGTCGTTACGGTGCATTAATTTTTTTATGCTATGCTAGAACTCTTAAAGATTGTATGACGTATATAATATTATTGTTTTAACTGAATCCCATACTTAGATTTCAAACAAATAATATCAAAATCCATAGTCATTATATTAGTTTGTATGCTCTGTCAAACGCTAGATTGTACGACCTATGTAATAGTTTAAATCGATCAATTCATTATTCAACATCTAACAGTCGGATTCCCAGTTTTGGCGGGAAACCAGAATCAGCGACCAGACCAGACTATCTTTGGCTCCTGCTTTCGAACAATGCTCACGTGCCACTGTTGCACTTCCATTGAAACAAGGCCTCTCTTCCCTTAGCTGTCACGTCACCAGTCACGCCAACACGCCAACACTATTGCACTTCAATTCAACTAGGCTTCTCTTGACATTTGCCTGACAGTTCACGATCCAAACACTGTTGCTTGCTCTTCTCTGCTCTGACCTTTGCTGCCAGATCACACATCCAGTCACGTTAACATGCTTCTACTGCTAGCAAAGGGACACCTTCTCTGTTGGTTAAGAAAATCACGTTATCTTCGTTCTTCAGATGAGAGAAACTCATTTTGGACATTCGTACGCACTTTCAACTGTCACAAGCCACTATTCCACGCGCTGCTCACAGCGCGTTCATCCAACTTGTACATGGATTTATCCATGGACAAGTTCATGGTCATCGACTTGCCACCAAAGAGAAAAAATTATCACCACGCATCGCATGTTTCCTTCCTAAGTGTTGAAAAGTCCAAAACAGACGGTCTGACCAGCAATATTCGGCTTCAATACTTAAGTTACCATACACCGGTACGTCTACCAACTTGCCGCCGACGGTTTGTTGGCTCTTACATCCGAGCCGCGACGACACTTACTATTGAGCGGTCCCAGTAGTTCCCTCAGTTTGCCATGGTGGAACGTTTTCGTAATTCCAGAAACCCAGGGGATTATCGCTTAGAAGAACTGTCAGATATATATGACATAGTATTTGTAGGCTCTAGTGGGGTAGACACTAAGGGGTACAGGTTTCTAGGGTTTCATATTTGTATCACACTTTTTTAGTTCATTCATTCCTCATTATTTCACATGGTACAGAGCAGGTTCCCTCGTGGGAACGTTTCCTAGGGCCCACCGCTAAAACGATTTTTTTTTGTTTACCTGCCCGGAGCGCGCTTCGCGCCTGCCCTAGTCGCACCTCACGCGCCTGCCTTCCCGTCGCGTCCCCTGCCCTTCGCGGCCCCTCTCACGGCCCTTCGCGGCCTCTTCGCGGCTCCCTCGCGGCCCCTCCGCGGCCCTTTGTGGCCCCTCTCACGGCCCTTCGCGGCCCCTCGCGGCCCCTCGCGGCCCCTTCGCCGCTCTTCGTGGCCCCTTGCGGCCCCTTCGCGGCCCCTCGCGGCCCCTTCTCGGCCCCGTCGCCGCCCTTCGCGGCCCCTTCACGGCCCCTCGTGGCCCCTTCTCGGCCCCTTCGCCGCCATTAGCGGCCCCTTCGCGACCCCTCCGCAGCCCTTCACGGCCCTTCGCGGCTCCTTCACGGCCCCTCCGCGGCTCCTTCGCGGCTCGTCGCGGCCCCTTCGCGGCCCCTTCCCGGCTCTTCACGGCCCTGCCGCCCCGCCGTCGCCGCCCCAGCAGCAACTACCGTCGCGCCTGCTGCCGCTGCTGCTCCTTCTACGACCGGTCGCCGCCGCCGCTGCTGCCGTGACAGCCGCCGCCGCTCCTGCTGAGGCAACCGCCGCTGCCGCTGCCGTGACAGCCACCGCCGCCGTCCCGGCCCTGCCCTGCAGCCGAGGCGCGGCACTCCTCTGCCGCCCTGTCGCGGCCCTGTCCCTGCCGGCGCACCTCGGCCCTGCCCCACCGCTGGCGGATCTCTACCCTCCCGCCCCTGGTAAGCGCACCGCCGAGCCGCGCCTCTCCTGCTGAACTGCTCCTAGCCTGCTGCTGCCGCTGCTAGCTTGCTGCTGCTGCTGCTAGCCTGCTGTTGCTGCTGTCATGGCTACCCCTAGTGTTCTCACCTTTGATGCTGAGGGTCGGGCTGTCAACTTTGAGGTCTAGGTCGATGATCTGCAGCTTTTCCTGCAGTGCGATAGAAAAGAAGGTCTCTCACTGTTTGATCTCACGTCTGGCGCCTCTGCTGCCCTTGCTGCTGATGCTGACAGTACTGTTCGCTCACAGTGGGCCACACGCGATGCTGCTGCCCGTCTTGCTGTGCGTAGTCACTTGCCGTCCACTGAGCACGCGCACTTTAGTCAGTACAAGAGTGCTAAGACCTTGTACGACGCTGTAGTTGCACGCTACTCTTCCCCTGCCACTGCTGCCCTTAGTCGCCTCATGCTGCCGTACCTGTTCCCTGACCTCGCCGCCTTTCCCACAGTCGCTGACCTCGTTACGCACCTTCGCACTAGTGACACCCGCTACCGCGCTCGCTTCCTGCTGAGTTCTGCGCCAAGAACCCCCCCCCCTGTACATCACCCTCTACTACCTAGTCACCTGGCTCCCTGACTCCCTTCGCTCGGTCAGGGACCACTTCCTCTCTGTTTGCCCCACCACACTCACCGTTGACCTCCTCGAGGAGCGCCTCATGGCAGCTGAGAAGAGTATAGTCGCTGTAGGAGCCTCTCGTGGTGACCCTCGTACCCCCTTCTTTGAGGGGTGCTCCCCCTCCCCCCTTCTGCCCTCTGTTGCCTCTGCTGCTGCGGTCGACCTCGTTGGCACCGAGTCGGTCGGCGCTGCGTCTGCCCCTAGCGGGAGACGTCGCAACGGCAAGGGCAAGTGGGGTAAGGGCGTTGGAGGAGCTGGCGGGGGCGGTGGAGGTGGCGGTGGAGGTGGCGGTGGAGGCGGCGGAAGGGGTGGGGGTGGCGGTGGGAGTGGTGGCGGGGGTGGGGGCTTCGGTGGCGGCGGTGGAGGCGGAGGCGGCGGCGGCAGTGGCGGTGGGAGCGGAGGAGGCGGCAGTGGCGGCGCTGGCAGCGGCGGCGGTGGCGCTGGTCGGGGTGGCTCTGTGCAGCGGGGCGGCTTCGGTGGTGGTCAGCGCCAGCAGCAGCAGCGCACTCGTGAGACCCCGCCCCCCCAGCAGCTTCGTAAGTGGTACGCTGCGCGTCAGCTGGGTGGGGGTGCTGGTCCTTGTGCCTACGTCCTGCGTACCGGCGACCGCACTGGTGAGCCGTGCGGTGGCCCGCACACCACCCAGCGCTGCTTCGGCCGCCTGACAGACGCCTGGCGTCTCCAGTTCCCTGACGCCACTGAGATCCCTCGCTGGGGCGAGCTGCTTAGGTCGGGGGTTGCTATCTTTGATCTTGATTATGATGCTATTCTTGCTGCCATGTATGTTTTGTCTACTAGTGATGAGGGTGACTGTTACCTGTGTGTTCCGCCTGACCCGGGCATTGAGGCTGCTGCTCTAGGTGCTGGTGAGGTTGCTGCTGTAGGTGCTAGTGCGTCTGCTGCTCCAGGTGCTGGTGAGTCTGCTGCCCAAGGTGCTGGTGAGTCTGCTCTCTCAGGTACCACGTCGGCTCAGGCTTTGCACACCTTCACCCTTGACTCGGGTGCTTCCCACTCCTTCTTTCGAGACCGCACCACACTCACGCCGCTTAGTCGGCCGGTTGCAGTCTCCCTGGCAGACCCCTCTGGGGGTCCTGTCCTTGTTCACTTCTCCACTGTCTTACCGTGTCCGGCGGCCCCTTCTGGCACCGTCTCAGTGTGAACGGGAGTTGTTGTTGGCTCCGTCCTCGCTTGGGCGGAGCCGACTTCGTGGTTGGGTGTACGGGAGGTACAGCCGACTTGTTGCAGTAGGCGACGCCGACTTGGGCGAGCTGGTCGACGGGGTTGGTCGACTTGCACGGGGCCACTGCAATGCCGCCGACTTGGTGGTCGGCGATGTGGCACGTCGACCCGGAAGTCGGCGCCGACTTGCAAGGTCACCGACTTGCAAGGTCACCGACTTGGGAGGTCGCCGACTTCAAGAGGTCGGCCCGGAAGTCGGCGCCGACTTGGTGACGCCGACTTCGGGTAGCCGACCTGGGTGGTCGGCTGACAACTGCGCTGGTCGACGTGGAGCTGGTCGACCAGGAGTGACATCGACCTGGAGCTGGTCGACCAGAGGTATGGTCGACCTGGTGAGGTCGACTTGGGGTGGTCGTCGACTTGGGAGGTCGACGAGCACATACAGGAGCAGCTGGTCGACATGGTTGCCCGGTCGACCGGGATACCTGGGTGACGAGGTTCTGCGAAGGAGTGCGACGGTCGCCCAGGAGAAGTTGGCGAGTCCGACCTCGGTGGTGGTATCCCGAGGTCGACGTGGCGGATCAGGTGGAGCTGTCAGCATGAGGATGACTTGGTGCGTGCGCTGCTGTTCTGCGGGAGCAATGCTGGCACGGCGTCAACCTGCAGCGCTGGCACGCCGTCGACTTTGCACTGCTGGAGCGCGGTCGACAAAGTCGTGCTGGAACGCGGTCGACCATGCTGTGCTGGCAGTCGACCGACCTGAATGCTAGCTCTGATGTAGTCTTGCCATGCCAACTGATTTGGACCATTATTGTCAACTTTCTCTAGTGAAACTCTTGCCAAATTGCCCCGTGAACTAGCAAGCAGTGTGAGCACTAGGAAAACGACTAAGGACCAATGAACGCAGAGATCACACGAGCACCCGTGCCTAGCCCGTAGTCTTGCTCCCGTTGTAGTAGTTATCTCCGCACTCAGGTCTTTACCTCCCCTCGTTCTCTACGAACTTGGTGAGTGGTGCTGATCTACAGGATGGGGGGGTCGACTAGTTCACTCCTACGAGTCAGCGAGTGACCCACTGCACGTGTGCTCGGATGGGCCGACACTTGGCCACGTTTACCCGTCAGCCGGGGTCGAGCCTGTACACACTGAGTACTGAGTCTCCTCCGGTTGCTGCGTCTAGTCAGGTAGCTGCGTCGGGTCAG